CGTCCGTATACGCCGATTGAAAGCAAGCCGTAGCACATTAGAAGCCGGTATTGCAAAAGGCGAAAGAAAAACGGACGGAATTAAGACGCGCAAAGAATTGCACGAACTCCCGCGTCAAAAATACACTGGAGGAAATCCGGAACGCCATCGTCAAATTTCACGAGTGGACAACGCCGTAGCAGCTTTAGAGGTGCCACGGACCTGACCACAGACAACGCAGACGCCGCATCGCAGAATATAAGGCCACCGCCGCTGTCGTAACCTGAGCCGAGCCGAGCGCCGATAAGGACCAGCCGACCAGCCGGACAGCGAAAACAAGCCACCATGCGAGCGAGCGCCGTATTGTAAGTTCGTACATATATATTAAGTCGATATCTGCGAATGTCAAGCGATAGACATCAACAACGTCGCGTATCACCAGAGCGGACGTGGCCGTTTCGGAATCGCGTAAAGTTCATTAGCACCGTACCCGAATTAAACCGAGTCGCAAGAGCGTTACCGGACATTCGGGATAGCGTGCGTAAAATTTTAAACTTTCCGACCGAAAGCGAAACAGGCTCACCCGTACACGTAGTTCGCGAACGCGAATTTCCAATCGCCACAGACGACTTTAGCTTACTCGACCTAAACATCGGAGGCGAACTTGACACCGCGTCGAACGGACAGACGAGACAAAGGCGTAGGCTTGCGTTTTCGCACAATATACACGACGATAACGTAACTACACCGGCAATGTCCGTGCAACGTAGCCCTCCACCTCGTTCACCGCGGACTCCGACGAATCAGGAGAATTCTACCGCGGGGGTAGAAGAAGGATCACAGCAACAGCTGGATTCAAATAATGCCCGAACAACTCGCCGCGTCACCTTCAGTGACGAGATAAACGCGTCAAACGATTGCGACGACATTGTCAATTCACATGGGCATCGGAGTAATAATCCCGACCCAATGGCAGTAATAATGCAAGGAATGCGTGAAATGCAGGCGCAAATAAATGAACTTTCGAGGAAACAACGCGAAGAGCACCGCGGCGGGCGTCGGGAAATAAACGACAATAGCTTCGCGACATCTCTTTTAGAAATATCAGGAGCTCAAAACGACACCCATAACCAAACGGGGCAGAACCGTAGTAGTCTCCCGTTAAACGTGTCAAGAAGCCAGGACGACATCCGCAATCAACCAC